TCAAGTCTCACATTCAAGTCTTTAATCCATTTTGAATTTATTTTTCTATATAATGTACAAGAGTGGTCCAGTTTCATTCTTTTGCCTGTGGCTGTCCAGTTTTCCCAATGCTATTTATTGGAGAGACTGTCTTTCCCATTGTTTATTCTTGCTGCTTTTGTCGTCGATTACTTAACCATATATATATATGGGTTTATTGCTAGGCATTCACTTCTGTTGCGTTGATCTCTGTGTCTGTTTCTGTGCCAGTACCATACTGTTTGGACTACTACAGCTTCGTAGTCTAGCATACTGTGAAATCAGGGAGCGTGAGATCTCCAGATTTGTTGTTCTTTCTCAGGATTGCTTTGGCTATTCAGGACCTTTTGTGGTTCCATACAAATTTTAGGATTCTTTGTTCTAGTTCTGTGAAAAAAGCCATTGGCATTTTGAGGGAAGGTGCATTGAATCTGTAGATTGCTTTGAGTAGTACAAACATTTTAATAATAATAATTCTTCTAAACCATGAGTACAGTATATCTTTCCACTTATTTGTGTTGTCTTCAGTTTCTTTCATCTTACACTTTTCAGAGCCTCCTGCTTTCTCTTGAGTTAATTTCATTGCCTTTTAGTGTAAGGGTGTATGACTAAGATTGTTCAGTCTTGCTAATTGCTAGCATTTCTGGGAAAAGGTTTGGCAGAGGAAGTTGAAATACATGGGTACAGTTTGTATTATCTGTGAACTTCAGTTGTCTGTTTTATCCTTGTCTCCCACTAATATGGATTAAATTTGAGAGTAGATGAGAGCAGATTTTTAAAATTTTCTGGAGGGGCACCTGGGTGGCTCAGTCATTAAGCCTCTGCCTTCAGCTCAGGTCATGATTCCAGGGTCCTGGGATCGAGCCCCTCATTGGGCTCCCTGCTCCACGGGGAGCCTGCTTCTCCCTCTCCCACTCCCCCTGCTTGTGTTCCCTCTCTCGCTGTGTCTCTGTCAAAATAAATAAATAAAATCTTAAAAAAAAAAATTCTGGATTCTTTAGCCTCTTATAGAAAAACCCTGTGTACTTAACAAAAATTTAATCTTGAAATGAAAAAATAATCTTTAGTAGGTTAGTAATATTTCACTGTACTTTTTTTGATAATTGTAACTGTTTTTCATGAGTAATGCTTTTTATAAAATATATGAAAAGCTTTAAAATTATATATTGAGATTTCTGTCTTAGAATTTTATATGTGAGTTTAGGTAGCAAAACACCAATGCAGTATAAATCACAGAATACCGCCTTCGTTTTTCCAGTAGTGAAAAAATTCACACTGTTAATTTCTCTAACAATACTCAAATTTCCACAGCTTAAATGTTGTCAGGTAATGTAAGATTGAGCAAATTAAGTAGATATGGAAATTTTTTGGCTTGTTTTTGTAGCATATCTTAGGTAATCTTAGAATTCTAGTCAATGTTAATTAAGCCTACCACTTTAGCCATGTAAAAGGACCACCTACTTAACATGCCTTTTTTAATTGCTATTTCAAAAATAACACCATAGACAAATTTACACAAATGGTGCTATTTAGGAAAAGATCCTAAAGATGTAATTTGGTTTTCAAATGTGGACAAATACAAATAAAGTGTAAACATGTTTATATCATAGCAGACTACCAGTTATTTTCAGGCACATTCTTTATGCAGTGATGAGGAAAAGCAAAAATGGCTTCATGGGAACATGACATGTGTAACAAAGTACAGAACATTGGAAGTTGAAATGACCATAGTGAGAGAGTATACAGTCTAAAACATTTCATCATGACTGACCTAAAAACTAAATAGAATAGTTACCTTTATACTTTCCTTTTTTAAAAGCTATTGCTAAATGTTTGGAAAACATTTGTAAGCCATGTCTTTATTAATTGAATAGATCAGGTTGTATTCTGGATTCTTGATCTATTCAGCTTAATTTCTTTTTTTTTAAACACAGGTTTGTTTTTTTAAAAATTTTTTTAAAGTAGGCTCCATGTCCAGTATGGAGCCCACTGCAGGGCTTGAACTCATGACCCTGAGATCAAGACCCAAGCTGAGATAAAGAGTCAGATGCTTAACCACCTGAACCACCCAGGCACCCCTTATCTTTTCTATAAGTATATTTTTCCATAAGTTTAATTGAAGTTTAAAATAATATCCTTGCAGGTAGGGAATTTTTCAGTTATCTTCAGAAATAGAATCTGAACTTTTAGCTACAAGCATTGGAACTAAAAGGTTTCAGTTAATCTTTGATTCAACATTGAATTTTAAAAAGATGAGAAAGGAGGGTGCCTGTCTGGCTCGGTCACTAGAGCATGCAACCTTTTTTTTTTTTTTAAGATTTATTTATTTTAGAGAGAGAGCATGTGCACACACTTGCATGAGAGTGGGGTGAAGAGGAGGAGAGGGAGAGAGAAACTCAGGTGGACTCCATGCTGATCATGGAGCCCAATGTGGGGCTCGATCCTATGACCTGGCGATCACAACTTGAGCCAAAACCAAGAGTCCGATGCTCAACCAACTGTGCTACCCAGGTGCCTGGAGCATGCGACTCTTGATCTAAGGGTTGTGAGTTCAAGCCCCATCTTGGGCTTAGAGCCTACTAAAATAAATAAATGAATTAAAATTTTAAAAATAAAAGTGTTTTTCAAATTGATGAGATGAGTTTCTCTGTAGTGATGATTTTCTTATCTGGCCAGTAATCCAATATGAAAAATGAATATTTAACTGAACTAAATTAGAAGAGTACAGATCTCTAAAACAAGTGGTTATAGGATTTTTTTCTTAAAACAGAATCTAAAGAGAAATGCATATGTTTTTCCTCTAGTGAAGCAAGATTCTGAATTCTAGGTTTGAAGAGCCCTTTGGTTTTATGTTCTATATTTTATGTAATATATCTGATACACATTTTCTCTAATCTTATTTATAACAGAGTCCTTGTTTTTAAACTTAGCCTTTTATTTTCCTGTAAAAGTTCTTAATGTGTAAACTTGCCCAAAGCAAAATATTTATTTGAAGATATTTATTACAATATATAGGTATCCTTTGAAGACTGAAAGTTAACTCTCTTTCAACTTTGTTGAGCTCAAACCTTTGGGTTGGTCTGTCTTCCACCAGAACTGCTACTTGAAACTTAGTTTCTAAGAAATCTTTGAAGCACATTTGATGCAAGATGTGTGAAGTTATTTGATCATACTTTGCAATGCCTTGTTGAGAAGACAGGATAGAGGGAAGTTTTTAAAAGTTAGAATTAAATACACTATAAGTGCTTTGAAGTGTTTTAAACTGATAGATTATAAACCTCTTTATTTAAAAAGCATTTCTTGACTTTTTTTACCTTGAACTAAAATTATACTACTTTACCCATTACTGCTTTGGATTTTAATTGCCACACATCAGACCCATTAAGACTATCCCTTATTATTACAGTTTCCTGTGGTAATTATTGAAATTGTATATATTCTATAAAATATGTTTAAGATAGTCTCTTCACATTAGATAGCAGTTTAAACAAAAAATATCAAATGCAGTTTATTTGGTTTAGAGGGTAAATGAATACATATTAGAAATAAGCTGTTGGGTAAAATACTGAAGAGCTATATTTTAAATAATAGCTCTTCTTTTTTTTATAGCTATAAACAAGTTATGTATAAATGTTGGTGGTACCAGAGCATTGAAAATAAAACTTGTTTGTGATAAACTCCATCCTTGGTTCTCTATCCTAAAATGTAACTGAATGATAAAAAAGTGCTATTCATCTGCAGGTGCATTGCTTCTACTTAGTTAAAAGATGGTTGAAAGGACAGGAATTAGTAGCATGTTGTATTAGCCTTTTGTAGTGTATTTTGTCCTAAGCATCTTAATTTCCCTGTTTTGAATGCTAAGTAGCAAGGGTCTTGGTTTAGAACTAATACCCATCATGCATGTAAACGGTATGAAAGAGCTGCTTAGTAAGTTAACACAAAGTGTTCTTGTGTCAGTCCTTGTGGAAATAGATACAATACAAACATTACAGCTGAACTCACGGCAAACTCCATTAAGTAAAAACCTGGCCTCATTGTTCAGGAAAAAGTTTGAATAGAATGCAAGCTCATTTTGTTGAATGTAATGTCAGGCTTTTAGGGACTGTATTGAGGGATAAGGTTTTGTTAAGTTGAGACCAATTCATTAAGTTTTATTGCCTGGTGAGAAGCAGTAATACTTTATTGTAAGACTTCATCAAATATTCATGGTTAAAGAGAAGTAGTAAATGTATTCAATCAAGTGGTCTTTTGGGGTTTTGAAAGGGATTATGAAGTCTGCTCAGCTGATAGTTTTAACATTCATTGAGGTTGTTTAACAAGGGTAATTTTAGTCTCTGAGTTTAATTTTGTTGTCCAGGCTTGTCTCTTTTTACTGTCACAAATCCAAGTCTATAAAAATTGTGTCACATTATAGAGATGAGTGGATAATATATCCATTCATATAAATTATGTATGTCCTAAATGGGTATATTTTTTAAATTGTCATGTTAATACTGAGTTTAATGTATGAAAGAGTTATGACCTGTCTACTTGTTCGTTGTGAGTTTGCTTTTCGTTTGGTCAGACTATAGCCTCACCTTACCATTGCTTGTGATCTTTTCATGTCTTGGATAATATCGTCTCCTTGACATACATAAAATAATAAGCAGCCTTTTGTTTGGGCCAGTTCAAATTGTCCTGAAAGGATATAGTCAGTATTTTGTAGATGCTGTTAGAAATTTCAGTAGCATAGTCCTCATTCTTGTACTTGATTTCAGGCTACCTGTCTCTTTTTTATTTTTGTATATACTTCTGCTCAGATTTGGGTGATAGTCTTTCGTGCACACAAAATTCATCCTTTCCCAGTTCTCAATGTGTTTACTTCTTTAACTGTGAACTGCAGTTTTGTGATTTTTGTCCATTTCAAAGAAATTAAGCATATTCAACTAAAAGTCAAATTTGTTATGAATTTTTTCTTATGTCTTTTAACCTCTATTCTTTAGGCAGATGATGTTGAGGGCAAAATTAGACAAATCATCCCACCTGGATTTTGTACAAACACAAATGATTTTCTCTCTTTGCTGGAAAAAGAAGTTGATTTCAAGCCATTTGGAACCTTACTCCATACATACTCTGTTCTCAGTCCAACAGGAGGGGAAAACTTTACCTTTCAGATATACAAGGTAAAGATAAATCTGAATATTTCTTGGGTAAAAAGTGCTCCATTTGCCTGAAACCTGTATGCTGTTTTGTTGTGTTATTTTCAGTGACTCATTTCTAGCTTCAGGAAACAAGTTTCTGTCAGGATTAAAAACAAAGATCTATTTTGTGTGTGTGTCTGTGTACACATCTTTAATCTGAGACTTCTAAACATTTTCCCACAGGATAGTTTTGTGTTCTACAGACTTTCACTTACCTCTGTGATGAGTTTCACCTGACTTTTCCTGGCTTTTTCCCTAGGCTGACATGACATGTAGAGGCTTTCGAGAATATCATGAAAGGCTTCAGACCTTTTTGATGTGGTTTATTGAAACTGCTAGCTTTATTGACGTGGATGATGAAAGATGGCACTACTTTCTAGTGTAAGTACAGTTCTAAAGCAACAGTAGACCTTATTACCTCCACAAAGCCAGCATTTTAATTGTGGCGGCCCAATTATTGGGACAGTATAATGATATTTTTCCCAGGAAAGAAAAACTATTGTTTATGAGGCTTGAGTTTTCCTTCATTATGCTTTCGGAGACCTTGAGAATAGAGCTGAATTAAATGCTGTTGTCCGTTAGGACCCTGAATGTAGGCTTAAACAGTAAAATGAGCTTTGCCTGTGTTTTCTTTTACTTGCCACCTATTCATCTTTATAATAGGCAAGTGCACTGAAGTGATGTAAAGAGGTCTGATTTATCCAAGTTGCTGCACACCAATTAAGTGAATTGTACATTCAGAACATAGCAGGTGTACCCATTGGGCCCTCACAGAGTAGCTTGCTGACACTGAAAATTCAGTCAGAGAATGGAAAAGAAAATGGACACTGCATGGGAGCGCGACTGTAATTGACCTGCTTGGCTTTCTGTTTTATCTGCAGATTTGAGAAGTATAATAAGGATGGAGCTACGCTCTTTGCGACCGTAGGCTACATGACAGTCTATAATTACTATGTGTACCCAGACAAAACCCGGCCACGTGTAAGGTAATTGGCGGTATAACACGTGCCTTGTCTTTTATTTCAGAAGAAGGAACTGCTGAAGTTTCCAATACTTGTTATAATAGTGTTGATTTGTTTTAAAAAATCACCATTATTCATTGGCTATGTACTGATTTATTTCATTGTTCCCTTTGAAACAGTGTAGAAGATTAAACCAATTTTGAGTATCTCAGTAATTTTTGGATTTCTTGAAGGTTGACTAAAAAAAACCCCACTAACTTTAAAATGTTCTTCATACTACAGTGATTTGCAATTTTTAAACAGATCATGTTGTGATATTTTAATTTTACAATCATTTCTTTACTGTAGTCAGATGCTGATACTGACTCCATTTCAAGGTCAAGGCCATGGTGCTCAACTTCTTGAAACAGTTCATAGATACTACATTGCATCTCCTTCTGTTCTTGATATTACAGGTATGTAAAATTTGATTTGTTACTGAAAGAGCCTTTCTAAAGAATCTCTTCTTTACTGATTAATTTTGGTTTTGTCAAAAATAACTGTTCTGTTTTAAATAGCAGCATTCTCTTGGGGTCTTTTTGGAACTGTGTAAAGATGGCTTATGTGGTTACATTTTAAGTTATAATAAGCCTTTGGTGTGATTGGATTGTATATCCAAGTAAGAAGTGCTTTATGAATTGAACAGATTGAAGATAATGAATTGAATGTATATTGGCAAATCGTGGTCAGGCATATGTACTTTGTAAGTGTGGTGTGACTTAGTTCAGTTTATTTGGCCAACCATTGCATTGCTCAGAGGCCCTGCTCTAATTTTCATGTAGAGGAAGAATATTCTAAACCTTACTGAGAAAGAAAAACCAAGGCAAATAATTCCTGAATAGAATACACATTTCTTAAGGCATGTGTTTTTTATTCCTAAAATGCATGCCTTCACACCAGTAGTTTATAAGGTGAAATGCAGGCCTATTTGTTTTGGAAACATCTTTCATTATGAATTAGCCAGAGAAGAAGTATTATGAATAGGATTCTTAGGAGAAAGAGAGAGACTGTCCTCTTTAAAGTCATCATTAGATGGAGTTACAGATAATAGTATGTAAACATGTGAGCTACCACAGAACAAAGTGGCCCCGGAACATTTATGTTGTCATTATTTTCTTTCCCCTGAGTAACACTGTTTCAAATTTGTTAACTCAGAAAGTTGCTGATTAAACTGAAAGTCACCCTTTTTTTTTCTTCATGAAAAATATTATACCAGATATTCATATCCAAATTAGGTATTACATTTTATTAATTCATAACAGTTTGAGTACATTTTTGTTTTTAAAACTGCAATGCTTAAAAAAAATAAAAACTGCAATGCTTAACACACACTAAAATTTAATTTGTTCAAAAAAATGCTGTTTTGGCATTTTATTTTACCACTTCGTTTGAAGACACCAAAAAAAAAAAAAATTACTGGATGGGGGACTAACTAGAATATAAGTAGGCTTGTGAAAAGAATATAAATAGGCTAACAGGCAGATTATTAGCTTTTCATGTAATGTAGTGGTTTTGCTTGTCCAGAGTAAATAAAGTTACTCCAAAAGAGATTCTGAATTGATCCTGTAGATTAATAAAAAACATTTTGTTTTTAAAAGGGAGTTCCATATTTATAGAGTTGAATTATTTTTTCATCTGACTTTCGTGCTCCTGTGAAATGGTTTAGAAATTTGGGAGATAAAGAAGTAACTGCTTAAGTTGGTTTATATCAAAAGTTACAAATTGTTTAAGTGACACCTTTACTAGCTAAGTGAAAAATTATAGAAACAATAAAAATGATTACACTTCTTTTTAACTAAGCTAAAAATTGTTTCACTTCTGTTTACCTTATACAGCTTGGACTTGGTGCTACACGAAGGGACTTTTTTTGGTGATTTTAATCTGGAGACTTAGAGTTCACATAAGTAGTCTTTGTCTTCTCTAGTGGGTAACGTGCCAGCAGGAGTTGTTTCTGTGAAGCCTCTTAACCATTTTCTTCTGTCTACTCCAACCAATAAAGTCCTTGATACTTAGCACCAATTAGCAGATAAAGAATTTTATTTCTTAAATCTCAGTGAAGAGTCATCAATAGTGGTAGCCTTTATTCATTGCAAACTGAAGTCTCCAAAGAGAAAAGACTAAACGTGCTAAAGGACTTCTGAATTTGAAAACTAGGTATCAGCTTTTATTTTCAGCGTTAACATTTCTCAGCATTATAAATTACTAAAAATGCCTTATCAGCTGTTTTCATGAAGATATTTCTTTTAGATTTCCATACCCAGTCTTTTTAAAAAAGAAAATAACAGAATTTTCCACTTTTTAGTCATTTTAGTTCCTGTTTCTCCATTATTTTGTATGTATATTTTTAACTTTGTGGTTCTTTAGCAGGTTCTGGATCTCCCTTTGCAATTCCGAATATTCTTTATATAGAGATGGCTTTTTGCTTACTTGACATACAGCCAGATATAGTAATAATTAAAAGTTAACATTGACAGGCCTGTGTTACAGGATAGATAGGTGTTTGTGGTGTAATTGCCATTCATTTTCTTTTTTTAGCACTTAATTTTAAAGTAAAATACTGAAAGACAGTTCTTTATATCATGTACATCTTCCTGTTGAGGATGTCACTATCTTAAGATACAAAGCGTTTGAGTACACTTCAGTTGTGTGACCTTATAAATTGAATCAGTGATTTGTTTCTTCTAGAATTATGAAGAGGTTTGCATTTGGCAATAGAAACTGATCTTGGGCTGGAGTATATATCAATATTACTAATCTATCAGTTGTGTATTAAGAGCTAATTATAAGTGTCCTTTAAATGTGCCCTATAGTACTGGAATGGAATATAGAATTATCTATAAGTTTTTTATACTTAGGTGGTTTGTGCTATCTCATTTTGTATGATTTTATCTCTAATCTAGCACATTAATATTGAGAGGTTTTTTTTAAAAAATGATAGAGGAGCACTTAAATTGTTAGATGATGTATTGGAAAAAATTCAGTTTTTGATTTTGCATGTCACTATAAATTTATACTCAAGAAAATTTCATCTTTTAAATGTATTGCTTATCTTTGTAGCACAGAAACAAAGGAATTGAAAGGTGTCATGAATTATTGAGTATCACTATTTTAAGTTCATTTTCAGTCTGACACTTTTGTTTAAAGTGCGTAAATATTGAAATGGTGACTTGGCCCCTTATATTGTCAGTCTATAACAGCTTATGTAAAGCTAAATGGAAATTTTTTGCCTTTTTTATTTGTGTGAAAATTTCTGATAGGAATATGGCATGAGTTTTTAGATTATTCTCAACAGTCATTCTTTTTTCTAGGATATGTTTTTTCCTAATCTTCTGAGGTCATATAAGTTACTTAAGCTATCACTCATACTAAATTTTATTTCAAATTGATACTAGCAACACAGTTCTTTTTTCTAAATCAGTTTAGAAGAGGTAGACTTGGAAAAATTGACATTGAATAAGCTTGAGCCTCATTTGTTAGTACTTTAGTACTTAAAAAAAATTTTTTTTAAAGAGATGCTTCTTTGAGAATTTTTGTCACTTAGTAGAGGTTATTGAGGTATGATTTCCATATCATAAAATTCACCCACTTTAAGTGTACAGTTCAGTGAGTTTTAGTGTGTCTGCCTAGTTTTGCAGCGACAGTCCTGTTTTAGAATATTTCTATCACAGTAAAGAGATCCCACATGTCCATTTGCAGGCAGTCCCTATTCCCAGTCTCTTACATTGAGGTTTGTGATCCATTTCGAGTTAGTTTTTGTGTGTTAGTTTCTAAAATCATCTTTTTACATTTGGCTATCCAGTTAACCCCATACCATTTGTTAAAAAGACTGTTTTTCCCCTATTAAATTGTCTTGGTACCTGTGTTGAAAATCAGTTGACCATAAATGTAAAGATTTATTTCTAGACTCTTATCATCTGTATATGTCTATCCTTATGCCAATATCATACTGTCTTGATTAGTTTACTGTAACTTTATATTGAGTTAGGTTTTTTTTTTTTAATGATAACGTGAAGATTAATATGCTGAATACATACATTGAATTTGTGGAGTGCAGTTTGCCTGGGTGCTGCAGAGTAAACAGAAGTTTTTTGAAATGATGGATGAGTAGGGTTAAAAATGGATACTGGCCCTGCCCAGGTGGCTGGGAATGGGGAGGAAAAGGCAGAGAGAGGAGGCTTCAGTTAGAGGAGGCTGGCCAGGGACAAGCCATGACCCTCAGGGACTCGAAGAATAGTCTCTCTCTGAGTGAGCACCCATGCAACACAGTCCGGGTCTGGTTGTTGCAAACTTAGCAGGAGCTGACCCCAGCACAACCGCCCCTTACGGTGCAATCTACCTGGCAAATGAAAACTTCTTAACCCACCTCCTATATACTCCCTCTTCCTCCCAACAGAGATTCTAAATTCTGAAGACAAAACCATTCCATTGGTTACATAGGAAATACAGTCCTCATTTTTTTGTCTCAAAGATAGCCGCTATTCCCTTCCCAGTCCCCCAGCTCTCCTTTCCCCCCAGATGATTTATGTGCCAAGATGATGAAGAGGAGGTCCCAGGCCATAGGGGGGGCTTCTAGCTCTGAGGGGCTGCATCAGTGGCGCCAGAGCATAGAGTGGGCAAGACACAACAGAGGTCCTGGCAGTAGGGCCCACTTCCTCCCACAGGCCATGCTTACTTATTTGGAGTAAGTAATTGCATTCATTTCCTGATAAAGTTGCATCTTTTGCTTTTCTTGCTTCTTTCTTCCTGGTGACCTCCTGCACTTCTTTCTGCTCTTTATGGCTGATCTCCAGCCAGGTGAGGTCAACCTTGGCCTGTTCTGTCTTCCCACTAAATGCATTTTAATGTAATGCTCTTTTGCTTTCTCTCTGTCTTCTTTCCTTGAAAGCACCTTTGACTTGTCCAGATCGATCTGTGTTACCTTTCTGATTATCTGTGCCACCCGGTTGTGGTTCTTGATGTTGATGAGCCATTTCACACCTTTGCTGGTGGTCATCTTCATTATCCTCAGCTTCTTTCCTTGCTTCTCCTCCTCCCTGGCCTTTTGCTTTCCAGCCTAGAGCTGTGTATCCTTTTCCTGGGGGCTCGTGTACTGCCTGCTAGGCCTTTGTGGCCTCCTTTGCTCCCTTTTTAGGTGTCGTGGCTCCTGCAGCAGTAGTGCCTCAGCCTTTCTATTGAGTTTTGAAATCGGAAAGTATTCCAGTTGTGTTCTTTTTCAAAATTATTTTGGTTATACAAGATCCCTTGTGTTTTCATAAACTTTTTCTGTTTTCGGCTTATTTGATTTCCACTTTGATTTTTATTATTTTCTTCTGTTTCTTTGGGTTCATTTTGCTCTTATTCTAATGAAGACTGAAACCTAGGTGTTTTTTGTTTGTTTTTGTTTATTTATTTATTTATTTATTTATTTATTTGAGAG